GTGGGGAGCCTGCTTCTCTCTCTGCCTCTGCCTGCCTCTCTGCCTGCTTGTGCTCTCTCTCTCTCTCTGTCAAATAAAAAAAATAAAATAAAATCTTTATTAAAAAAAAAAAAAGAAATCAGAAAGAGAAACCAAAAAATACCCTGAGACAAATGAAAACGTAAACACAGCACACCAAAACTGGTAAGATGCAGCAAGTGCAGTTCGAAGAGGAAAATTCATACCGGTAAATGCCTCCATCAGGAAAAGGGAAAAATTTCAAATGAACTTCCTCAAGAAACAAGAAAAACAAGTGAAGCCCAAAGTTATAAAGATCAGAATAAAGGTTGATGAAATAGAGAGTAAAAGGACAATATAAATGAGCAATAAAATTAATGGCCAGCTTTTTAAAAGATAAAATGACAAAACTTTACCAAGAGAAAAAGAGGACTAAAAGAAAAAAAAAAAGAATAATTCCAAGATACATCTCTAAAAACTCTCATATTCTAATAGAAAAGACAAAACAAACAAAAAACCAACAGTAGTAGAGGCTATGTTTTCGGATTAAATGTGGCTACGGCAACTCCATAGCCAGCTATGAGCACAGTGGGGAAGAGAAGGAAGATCACTTTCCTGGGTGGACAGCCATTTTCCAAAATAATGGGATCCAGGCAAGTGAGGAAGTCTCAAAAAGCCTGGACCAACTACAATGCAGTTGTGATAGATTTATCAGCCTGAGCAAGAGATCTTTACACTGGACACTGGAGAAGAAAAGGGAAAAGGATCCATACAATATTACATTCATGCCCTGGAAGTACGTGGACCACAGGGGGATCCAGCCTGGGCCCCGAGGGTGGGGAATGCCACAGAGGGCAGACAGGCACTCCGTGGCACGCTCTCCTTCCCCTGCCCATCCGCTACATCTGAGAGATGGCGTCTCTTCCCTTTTCAGTGCTAAGTCCATCAATGAGCCCGTACTGATGGAAGAGAGAGGCATGGGATGGACTTGAAATCCCTCTAGCTGACACACAAGTCACTCGTAGCACTTCCCCAGCCAGGACAGGAAATGCAACATGAAGAAGGACAAAGGCAGCGCTTCTCTTCAAGTCAAGATGGCAAGGAAGTTTCCAGTAGGTCTTCGGGTAAGGGCTGGACCATCCCCCAAAATGAAAATTCAAACAGGTGTTAACAAAAGGCACCACAATGAGCTGAAAAACTGCCTTGATAATGAGAGGGTAGTTTATGCCCAGAGAACCAGGGGCCTCCATGTGGCCTATGAGATTCTGCTTAGAGAGAGCTTCTCCTTCAGCCTCATCTCATTATTACTCAAGAAGAGTGAAAAGAACAAAAAACGATAAGGCAGATGAAAGCAGCTCTCCACGGAACACTTGAGTAAGTAGGTTAAGGTAAACTTGTGTCTAGCTACAAATACTCAATACAAATACTCAAATAAATGTTTACTGTGGTGATACTGGTAAGTCACAGTTTTGAAAGCAAACCTCATAAAAGTCTTAACTACCAGATTCACATAACATTCCAAATGGCCCAAATTACATTGTCATACTCTACTGTAATCTACCTGTCTCCTACAGTTCAGGACAAATATTTTAACCTTTGTTTTATCATTTCACTTTGCCTTTCTTTCTAGAGAGAGAGAAAAGTTAATTTTCAGTGGCCTGAATAGAGTTTCCCGGGCAGTCATCCAGATGGGCCAGGAAACAAGTCCCAGCAATCTGGTGTCGCCTGACGTAAAACAAAGCTACCAGAAGACAGGGCCTCATCACACTTAAAATCATAGAACAAAAGTTGTGGAAGAGGGCTCCCTCTTCCTCCGTCCTGTTAAAATCCATGGAAGCAGCCCCACTATGAAGTACTTTGATAGGAGTTAAAAATGCAGTTCGCTTTCCTTACATTGCAGCCAATTAAAGGTTATCTCTATAATAACCGGCAGCCCTATAGCTTCCTGAGTGGGAGTGAAAGGAGCGGCATCATAAGGCTGGCGGGAAGGATGGAGTGCAAGTTCAGGCTGGGTCACCGGCAGCGCAGGTGCCCTCAGGCACTATCCTAACAGAGATCCCAAAGGAGCTTGGGAGCTGTGGTTTTCGAGTCACTTCCATTTGTTTCTTAAGTCTTGCCTCAAGAGTCCTATAAAACCCAGAGTGCACCAGCATATATTGCGGCACGTCTGATAGCATGAACGTTTCAGGAGCAATGACCAGCAGTTGTGACGACCCATCACAAGTGGGCAAAATGCAGATGTGACTGAAATGTACAATGTTATATATAAATAATATTTAAAGCAGGAAAGCCTGATTATTTTATTTATTGCTAATGTAATAACACAGCCTATGTTTTTCTTTTGTTTCTTCATTAATAATAAAGAAAGAGAGCTCTGTTGTGTCAAAAGTGAAAAAAAAGACTGTGCTTCATAGGCACTAACAAAGCAAGGTGGCTCATTAAAAAGCCAATGTCATTAAAAAGTTAAAACCAATGTATTATTAAAATCACAAGAAGTAATCATACAACTAACTGCATTTGGTATTGGTAAGAGAGCATCTCAAAATTATACACTCAAATTTGGTGGGTTAACTGTGACAGAAGAATTAAAAAATTAGAAGGTGCCCCAGAGGAGGGAGAGCAGGATGGTGAGTGGTGTAGAAATCATGCCATAAGGGAAACCAGTGGAGGGGAGAGGGAAGAATGAACAGAGAGTACTCAGCATGGAAAGATAGGAAGCGTCCTAACAAAAAGCCTTATTTTATGTAGCTCGAAGGGCAAAGCTAACATCAGCAAGTGAAAATTACAGCGTTTTTTTTTTTTAATTTTATTATTTATTTGACAGACAGAGATCACAAATAGGCAAAGAGGAAGGCAGAGAGAGAGAGGGATAAGCAGGCTCCCTGCTGAGCAGAGAGCCCGATGTGGGGCTCGATCCCAGGGCCTTGGGATCATGACGTGAGCCGAAGGCAGAGGTTTAACCCACTGAGCCACCCAGGTGCCTCAAAATTATAGCGGTTTCTACATACAGCTTTCTAACAGGAAAATATCCTCACACTAGCAAGTAGTGAGATCCACATCACAGGAGGCAATCAAAGGATGTGCTCCTCTACAAAATAGAAGTGGGGGGCCAAAATGATCTTTAAGCTTCCTCCAACTATAAAGTTCTGAATTTCCTGAACCTCAAATATACTAGTTATTTTCAGAATTGAAACATCAATGTGGAGTCCTACAAATTAATAAAATCGCAAGTGACCCCATTTTTCAGATGACAGACATCTATTATCCCATTTCCCTTTCCATGAAATGGAAAGAGAGCTACCTCCACTCTGTTAACATACCATACAGTGACCCAAGTTCTGTTGGAATATATTTAGAGGCAAGGACTGCTTGCTGTGAACGACATTCTTACCCTCATCCCTTGAACATGAACTACACAAACAAGTTCCAATCCCATTCCCATCTCATCATGTGACACTTAGTTCCTGAACACATAAAGAACAAGGCCGCAGACTTAACCCCAAAGAACCCATCCTCGGTTTTTCTTTCATTTTAAGTCAATGAAATTGAATTTCATAATTTCATGCATTTTTCAAGAGCCCGAGCACCCCATCCATGATCTATTACACTTAGAAAATATTGAACTATGACAGGGATCTCCAGAGCAAATGGCAAAACTTACTCAGCCACATTCCACAGAACTGGAATTCAGAAAACCCGCCATGGGCATCACCAGGATGGCTCTGTGACGGCCGCAGGCCTCCTGAATGCCAGGTGAGAGTCATTTAGCGTGGCTGGGACCTGGGGTCTCCGAGCTGAAGCGGGGACCCAGGAAGGCCAGTGCCCTTGCTAAGACCACCAGCGCTGCTACAGTGTACTGGGCATGCACAGTCTGCCAGTTCCATGAAGTCTCCCCCTAGGCAAGACGTGTCTGTATCGTCTCAAGCAAATCAGGGTGACTTTCAGCCATCTGAGCAAGGACGCTGAACAAGGAGCCGCAGCTGAAAGGACATCACCTGCCTCTGAAGCCCACACTCTTCCCTCCCCAGTGCCCTGCTCAGCATCTGCACTTCAGCAGCAAAACAGCCCCGCAGGTCCCGGGGCACATGCCCCGCTTCCCCGCTGCAAGGAGCAGCCCCAAACTGCTGCGTCACTTGTAACGGTTCCCGAGCCAAGGGTGGCGGGAGAGGAAGGCCGCGATTATGATGACTGCCTTTATCTGTAACGAATAAAAATACATTAAAAGAGCAAGGATCCTCGGCCAAGCAAGGAAGCATGACTGTGGGTCTGTTAAACTTTCACTCTGGAAGGCACTGCTGAAAGCCATGAATTCTGACCAACTCTGCCAGGAAAAGTCCTCAGTGGGACCCAGGGCTGTTTTGGACATGAACTAGCATAAAAGAAATTCCCCTGCGAGCGGCTATCAAAGTGAAAAATAGCGAGAGGCCTTTGCGGAATCAGTAAATCCCAGCTTGTAAAAGCAACGCACTGATTCAGAAGTAACTCTAACTTACTCCTTTTCTACACACTGCTTTAGATCACCCAAAATTCAAAATTCCAGAATTGCCTGAATTCACCCTCAAGCCACCACACCCCAGTCACAAGTGCTCACGAGTTCAGAGGAGCTTAGGAGGGAAAGGGAAGAGATTCAAAGCGCACTGCTCACAGCCAGGCTGCTGCTCCCCTGCGGGCTGTCACAGCTTTCAGGCTTGGCACAGGAGTGCGGGCGGTGTAGAGGGCAGGGGGCTGGGGGAGAGGTCCCTCCAGATTAGACGTGGGTCTGAGACCTGGCCCGACCCTTGGTCCACAGCACCCACCAGCCTCCCATCTCACTGTGCCCACACCACCTGCAGCTGCGGCCGGAAGAGGGGAAGGGGGGCGGGCGGGCAGAGGCTGTGCGAGGTGATTTCCTCCTCACTGCCTCAGCGCCTCCATCCTGCTCTTATCTGTGGCCTGGCCCTGCGGCACTGCCTGCCGGTGAGAAGGAGGTGGGGAGGAAGGAAGAAAGGGAGTGAGATGTGAAGTTAGGATCTCACCAGCATACCAGAGAAATCAGTCCTAAGAACAGAACAAACAAAGTCGGAAAATACAGTCTCGGAAGCCAGGGGCCTCTTGGCAGTTAGAAACGCAGGCCTTGCACTCACCTGACCGCTGAGAGGCTCTTTCCTGGCTGAGCTCGGAGCCTGAGAGGGACCCTGGGCAGGCGACAACCTTGAGGGGCTCTTCTTACTCTGAGGCAGCAGGGAGGACAGGAAACCCACTCGAGGCGACTGCGACAGGGAAGTGTTCCTCTGGCTGCACACCATGGCCCTGGACCAGCAGACACACAAGGTCACAGGGCTGGAGGGGGACCCAAGAGGACCCAAAGCACAGGCCTCCTGGGCTCTGGACGGCACCGGGGCGTGGCCCGGCTTTCAGGTGGCATTATCCCTGAGACCGCCTCCTGTACCCAGGGGAGCCTGCAGCCTCTCTGGCACGACTGGGACGCCCGCCGCACTCTGAGGGCCGAGGTACAGTTCAGAGCCATGCGCTCCAATAACCACCTAGCCACTCGTGCCACTGAGCCCCTGGCACGCCGTCAGTCCCACAGGCCCTGTGCTGGAGAAGCACGACACTCCTCGGGATTCAAGCCTCAGCAGGAAAACGGAGCAAAATAGCTCACGGGTCCTTCGTTTCTGTTCAACCCACACTGAAACGATATCGTGGACATACTGGGCTAAATAAAATACTTCCTAAAATTAACTGCACCTGTTTCTTTTTACTGAGTATTAAGTACAATTTTTAAAAAAAAGATTTTATTTATTTAACAAAGAGACCCAGCGAGAGAGGGAACACAAGCAGGGGGAGTGGGAGAGGGAGAATAGGTTTCTCATGGAGCAGGGAGCCCAATGTGGGGCTCAATCCCAGGACCCTGGGATCATGACCTGAGCGGCAGGCAGACGCTTAACAACTGAGCCACCCAGGCACCCCTAAGTACAAATTTTTATGTGCTGTTTTTGGCTTGCCCTGGGGTTCCACTGCACCAGGCTAGCTCAGACACCAGCGCAGTTTCCCCCAGTATAGCACCTGGCCTCGTGTAGGTCTGGAATCTGCCTGCCTGGCTTTGCATCCTGATTCACCAGTCGTTAGCTGTGGGACCACTGTGAGCCCCGGTATCTTCAACGGCTACCATTGTTCTCATCAGCTGGGGCCTCCGCTCTAACTGGCTGTGTTCTAAGCTAGCTGCTAGCCACCCACCTGCCTACCTCTCCAAAGCCTCGGGTGGGAGCACGCTTTCACCACACACTGCATCCAACCTTTTCATCCGCAAGGCACTGCTTTCAACACACACACACACACACGCGCGCGCGCACACACGCACACTTCCTGAGGCTTTAGGACAGCGTCTGTGTTTATTTACCCAGATGTGCACATCTGGGTGTGCAGGCCCCTCCCTTGGGGCAGGTTCAGAGGCTAGAGGGCTTTAAAAGCCAGGGGAGCTTACTTAGAAAGCTCAGGCGGGAACAGTGAGGGCCAAGGAGGCTCTCCAGCAATTCCCTGTCACCAGGAATGGAGGGGAGGGTCAGGGTGAGGCGACAGGGGACAGATTAGAGGAGGGGACCGCCCACCCGCCCCTCCCACCCAAGCAGGCGCACACTCACAGCTCCGAGTCCCCCAGGCGGTCCATGTGGGAGACATAAGGAGGCAACTGGTGCTGGACCAAGGCCTCTTCCTCCTCCGGCTGCAGCTCCTCTTTCTTCAGGCGGTGGATTTCGGCTTGCAGGGCGAAAAGCTGAGTGGGGGTGCGGGCGAGTTAGATGGTGACCTCACCCCATCTTCCCTCTGCTAAGGAGCAGCAGACACAGCACGTCCAACACCCAGCCTCCTCCAACACCCAGCCGTCCAACATCCAGCCTCGTGGGCCTCGGGGCACCAGCCCAACCCTCTGCTCACCACCCAGTGAGATACCAGGCCAGGGGCAGCTGTTCCTTGACTATACTGAAGTGAGACACCGACAACTGTCAGACACACAAATCCCACTTTCTTTCTTTTCGTCATTTGACTTGCTTCTTCCTGAATTCATGGAGAAAAACAGCTCCACCCAGTCCTGTTTTGCTCTTTGGAAAATCTACAAAATCAGGCTCTGGAAGTCTCATGGATAATTTTTTTTTTTTTAAACACAGTTCAGCATTTTTGACCTTATGCCTGAAAAAAATTATATACACACACGCACCTAAAATGCAAACAGCTTATAATCTTCCTTTTTCCGAAAATATGACCTACAGTTGCCTTAATTTCAACAGCAGAGAAGTGCTCCTCCGACAAAATATAAAGGCGAATGTGGGTCCCCCAGCTCCAGCGTTTTACCCAACTAGAGGCTCCTGGAGCTGAGCAGAACAATGACTATACATGGGCTGTAAACAACACAGATGTGGACATACAGGACTGGGGGCACAAAAGAGACACAGGAAAGCACATAGTCTTCTTCCTCTCAAAGTTCATTACCATTGCTATGTTATTCATGCTTTACACGGGACTTATAATATGAACCTGACCTCTGTTTCCAGAGACTATTACAGCCCCCCAAATCTCCAATACTGCCTCTCTGGTGACTCACTTACATCTGAGATTAGTGCTTCCCTATTTTTAATCAGCCCTCCACCACCACTACCTAATTTCACATACAAAAAGCAGAAGTTCTTCCCAAGAAGCAAGCGTGTTTAGAACAAACCTTCTGGCGAAGAACTTCATTTTCTTCTTGAACCTGGTTGGTCCTCTGGCATTCCGCATCGAAGTTCAGGATTACGGGAACTGGTGCCCAAAGTTAAAGAAAAAGCCTGCCTGCGATGATTAAAAGCCCTTCCCAAACTCTTGATACAGCAGCAAAACCCTTGAACACGAGTTACAGGGAGCAGAGGACAGACTTAGTCCTGCAGGCTCTCCACAGTTGTATGGAATCTCTCCCTTGAAGCTGGGTCTGGCCTTTCTCCAGAGACTCACACTCACGCCAATCTGGCTGGTCAGCCCACAAAGAGGACATAAATCTAAACCTGAGTGTTTTCTCCCTAAACACCAGCAGCAAAGAGCTCACACTCAGTGGGCCTCCCAGCCAGTGCAGGCCATAGCAAGGTCAGGGCAGACAGTGAGAAGCGATCCCAGGGGCCAGCTGGTCTACCATCTGGGCAGAAGCCTCAGCCACTTGGCTTGCCCCTCCCCAGTCTGTACCTCTTCCTAGTAAAGGTATAGACTGAGGAGAACGCTTTCTGCAGACTGGACAGTCCCGTGCCATGCTATGAATATCATTCTAGGTCAGGGTGTCCATCTTTCCCACCACCTTAAACAGCTTCAGTCAAGGGGAGCACAAAGCAGGCAAAGGGTCTTGGTCCTGGGGAAGTGAACTGTAGCTCAAATGTGTGTGACCTAGTTTGCAGGGCACTGTCTTGCACTGAAAAGACCTTCAGTGACATTTCCGATTTCCATAGAGGGCCCATATGGTCGTGTCATAACCACCACTGGGCTGAGCCCCCTGCTAGTCTAGCCTGAAAGCCCTCAGGATAAAAAGCAATAGGGGACAAGGAGGAGGAGGGGCTTTTATACCTGGCAAGAGTGGAATTCACCCTCAGACCCACAGCACAAAAGGAAGGGGCACCCTTCCTACCTCCACCAGCTGTCTCTCCCAGAGGCCGAAATGGGTCACCTGTGGGTGGGCCCATAAACACCCAATTTGTCAGTGACTCACCAGGCAGCAACCTCCAAGCCGGATTCCCTTTTCCTCCTCTAGAATTTCAGCCTAAAGGGCATGAGCCCTGGAGGATATCCTGGGCCTCAAGAATGCAGGCTTTCCACGACAAAATGGTAAACCCGGTGGGCTACAATTTATTTACATTCTCCCTCTCTTAACTATCCATACACACATTCTGAGAGCCGCTCTGTTTTCTGGCAAGTTGAGAAACACGGAGGTAGCTGTCAGAGAGTGACCCAAACGCGAACACAGGAAGGAAGCTCTAGCCCAAGAAGTATTCTGACCTCCTACCTGATCTCAACAAGGCAAGTAACACCCTGAGGGGCACAGGGCACGCACGGACAGGGTATTCTCCAGGCTGGCCAGTTGCAAAGAGCAGCAGCTGCACCAGCTCAGCCCTATCTGAGGGCTCCCAGCAGGGCCAGGCACTTGGACCTCATTGCTACTACTGTCCCAACTCGTGCATGTCAGCTACTGCTTCAGCAGCGGCACAATGAAGATTCATGATTTCCTGGCCTGCTGACAAAAATAACCACGGTCTGTCCAGCCCCCTCACATAACACATGACAACGATGCTGGGGCAGTGCATCGAGAGCAGCGGCCACTGATCACGCTGTCTGGGCAGACCAGGCCCACAGCCCCAGGCAGCTGGGAGGATATGCATGCACTGAAACAGGACGCTCAGGAAGTTGTGCAGGGACACAATGAAGGTATCGGCCCACTGTCGAGAGAAGTAGGTAGCGAAGGTGGGGTTGGTGTCTGGGGATGGCAGGAAGGGCAGGACAAACCAATCCTTCCACTCGGCCTGGTTCTGGAGCTCTGTGGCCTGCTTTGCAAAGAACTCTTGAGCTTTGTCATTTCTGTTTGTCTGCCAAGACAAAGAGGAGGCAGCAGAAAGGGGTACGAGACAGAAGTCCAGAATTAAGATAAGTCATTACTGCACAAAAGAGAGCCTCTAGATAGCAGCCTACCAGAAAAGTGGCCAAATATAATCTACAAATGCCATAAAGGATAATACTTTTCTCAAGTTCCTTGTAATTTCTAAGAAGCTGGTTTAAATTGAAACCCTGAAGATAAATGCCATCCTAAAAATTGATTCCTAGTTGATTTCCAAACAATCCAAGTGACTTATCCCCCGGGGTCAGCTATAATTTTTATTACTCAAACTTTAACCCAGCTACTTATATTCTTTGAAACGCCACCCAGGCTTATGTGCTTAAAACAAGAAAGGAAATAGGAATGAGGAAGACAGGTCAGCTGATCTACAGAGGAGAAGGGAAAAAAAGTAGGAAAACAGTAAAAAATAATTCGCACTATAACTGTTCCCCTCTTTCCCACAGGAACACAGAGTCCTCCCTAGAAATTAAAAAGGAAATCTATTTCAGGGTCAAAGAACTCTCTCCAAGGAATCCCGGAATGAACAAGCACCTGGATGGTGTAGACAAGATAAAAGCGGAACAGGCTGGTTTTCAGCTTGTTGATGGTGGGTCTATATATATCCTCCAAGCGACTGAAGAGTCGCCGTTCCAGGTAACTCCAGTAATCCCGAAGGGCAGCCAAGTCATACACCTGCATTAACTGCTGCAACTGGTCCACAATCTTGTCCACCTGGTGGAGAAAGATGAGATGGAGAATGTGGTGAAGGACAAGAGGGAATTTTCCCATCACTTCACAGAGCTAATACAGCTTTTTCCTCTTGCTGTGGCTTCTGATGTTAGAGGGTTTTTTGTTTGTTTTGTTTTGTTTTTTAATTAGCCATCTATAAAATGTACAAAACATTGTAATATAATAGCTTTTGAGTTATTTTCTGACGTTAGAAATGTGGTTTGACCCTGTAGCAAGCATGGAAATGTCAAGCGTAAAAGCACAAAGCAGGAGAACCTGAGTCTAGGTCTTGGATCAGTGTGTCTGGCTTATGCAACCAACTTGAAAATGTTACTTCAACTCTTTGGTCTCAGTGGCCTAAGATTTGAAAACAAAAAACCAGAGAGACAACCTCCATCATCCCTCTCCCAGCTCCACCATTCCAGGAGTCCTAGACTCAGGAAGAGATGCACTGACTGACCCAAATCCTGGTAGCTTATCAGACTGTCAACCAAAGAAGTCACCTCCATGTGAGAAATCACACCGGAGGACACAGTATTGCCTCTCTCTCAGTTCACCTGTCAACACCAGTTAGACTCAGCAAGCACACGAATCACACACATACACATTCCAAGAACCTCTAAACAGAAAATCATGTCTGAGCAGGGGAAATATAACGTTCTAAAATGTACAAGGTCTTCCTCAACTGCGGAGACAAAATTGCCAGTAAGTCCCCCACAATGCCATTTTAAACAAACACCAAAAGATACCCAGCTAACATTTTGGGCTGCAGACCCCTTTGCTCCCAATGCCATCAGAAGCTAACTTTTTCATATTTCTGTTGCCCAAACTTAACTATCTACCCAACCTTATCTCCTAAAACCCTTATCTTCATCCTGGCCAGTTGGCCAGCACCTGCTCGGAGACTGGCGTGGAGGACAGACACCCGGACCAGGAGTCAGGGCACCTGGGCTCCAGCCTCAGCGATGCTCCTGACTCGCTGGGCAACTTCAGGCAAGTCTCGTCCCCTCTCAGGACCTCAGTTCCTCATGTGTCAAGGGAGGGCCAGACGCGCTGATGCAGACGGTCCCCCCGGGCGCACTGACAGCGCGGCTCCCGCCCCGGAGGGCAGAGCTTGGGGGGAGCCCGCTCCAGTCTCCCTCGGGGCCGCCTCTGCCCGCGCCGCACCCGCCGGCCCCTCACCCGGAACCCTTTCTCCTTGTCCGCCTTGATCTCGGCGTCCAGCTGCCTCAGCGTGTGCGTAAAGCCGCGGAAGAGCAGATACTCCCGGACCAGCTCGTCAGTGCGCTCCACAGCCTCCGCCATCGCTGCGCGAGCGCCGTGAGCGGCCGCGGCAGGCAAGAGGCGGAGAGGCGGGGTCTCGCCGCGCGGGGCGGAGCCGGCCGCCGGCGCCAAGCACGTCACGCCGCGGCCCGCCTAGCAGCCCGCACGCAACGCGCGCCGCGCGCCTGTGGCCCCGCCCCGGTCCCGCCCCTAGCCCTGCCCAGCCACTTCCGTCAGCATCAGCCTCCGGGAGGAGCGACTGAACTACCCTTTGCTCGCCTGGCTTTCCAGGCGTCCCTGGCGCCGGCTTTGTGATCTGACTTATTGAAAGCGGCGGCTGCTGTCCAAGTCAAGCAGGGTTGGACCTTGGAGACCATCCCAGATAGTCACGAGGCGGGCAGGGGGTGAGGTGCCCTGCTCATTGGCATTCCATCGCGGAATCCTCTGTGCCGCGTCCTCGTTTTACAAATAAGGGAAACTGGAGTCCGGAGGGAAAGTGACTTGTGTGCAGTCACACAACTAGTTGTGTCATCACAGAGTGCTAGAGAAAAGCCTTGCTTTCATTAGTACGACTACCCAACTACAAGGCAAGATAACCAAGATAAAAGAAAAAAGAAAACAAATTTCAAAACAGTCTGTAAACTGCGGTCCCAGGTTTTTTAGAAAAGAAAAAAGGGTATGCGTGTATGCGTTTGTGTGTACCTTTTGAAACTTAAGGAAGATTATACAACTCACCGCTTATGGTTGTTTTCTCTAAGAGGTGAGACTATGAGGTACTTTCACTTCCTATTTTTTACTTTTGTTTGAAATGCTTACAAACTAATTTTATATATTTATAAATATTTTTGTAAGCAGGGAATAGCCAGTATCTTTGAGACTTCCATTTCTCCTCTGTAAAATAGTGACAGTGATATCAGAGTATCACTGCAGAATAATGAAAATTTAGTAAGATTGTTGGTGTAAAAAACTTAGCACAATGAATAGCCCATCATTCAAATGCAGTATTCGATCCCTTCTTCCCTCTAGTGGTATGGCTTTCTGTGTTTATCAAAGTACAACTCACAGAATCATTACCACCACTTTGTCTAGACCCTCCCACCCAAATATATGGATATTTAACTCCAAAGGGGGTCTGATATGCACTAGGGAGCCCCAAAAAGATAACAGGGAGCAAGCCACAATAAGACAAGTTTCACCTTCTGCCTGCTTTAGCTGTGTTCACAGGTGTCAGTATTCCCCAGGCACCCAGGCTTGACCCACAGGGCACAGAAGGAGAGTCACCGCTGTGACTAGTAGGAGGACCAGACCAAAATCCTACTTTGACTGGGATGTCAGATCATCGAAAGGGAGCTTGGGAAATCCCGAAAAGGAGCACGGGCCAAGACCTTTGCCAATAGGAGTGTTGCCAATTAGATTCTCCTAAGGCACCTGCAGGGCTCAGCCACAGCGGCCACCTCCGTCACCTCCACCTGCCCTGGCAAGTCCCAGAGCAGCACCTGTAAAATCAGCCACAGTTGCTTTTCTGGTCAATGCAAGGCAGCTCCTCCAGGCTCTGTCATAAGCTTTTTCCTCTGTCAGGGATGTCCTCTCCTGGATACCCACATGAAGGCGGCTCCACGCGTTTGTACTAACGTCAGCTCGGAAAGGCTCTCTCTGACCATCGTGTACAGCAGTCCTCTCATCTCCAGAATTCTCCCCCTTGCCTTGCTATATCTTTCTCACACTTATCCCAGTGTGACAAACTAGATTTTTTACTTATTTTTTCTTTCTCTCTCCTCTATGCTAAAATATAAGCTGCATGAAAGCAGAGATTTTTGCCTGAATTGTTTGCTAGCATATCCTCAGAACTTAGAACTATGTCTACCTTATGGGAGATGCCCAATAAATATTTGTTGAATGTATGAATGAGGGCAATTTCAGTGAGGGCCCAGCCACCTTCAAGCAGGATCGCCCTGCTAGAGGGAATATAAACTCTAGGATCACTCCCATGTATGGGCTCTATAGGCTTCTGGCCAACCTGGTCCCTGTCCAGAGCATTCCATCTTCCCATCTTCTCTCTGTACCATTTTGCTTACACTTTAAAGATTTCTGGAGACATTCAGCTGAGTTGTCTTTATGTAACTGGAGAGGGCACTAGATTCTCCAACTCATTCATTAGCTCTAGTTAGTTGGTCTGATTAATCTTTCACTGCTTATGGCTGCTCCGAAAGTAGCCTGGGGTTCCTTTAAGAAGGTGCTGTCGGGAGCCTGCAGCAGTGCCATTACGCAAAGCAAATTATGCGGCACCCACAAGGTGAACCACAAATTATCTTTTCTTCTAATCCAATCATCTCTCTTTGCCTCTGACTTGGGAGAGAAGGGAGAACAAGGATGGTGATGGGGGCGGGGGGACAGTAAATAGTTATGAGCACCTAGTCGATGCCAGGCACTGTGCTAGGTGTCAGGGACATGTTAATAAGGAAGCCCAGGGTGTCTGCCCTCAGAGCTAACTCCCCTGGGGGTTGGAGAAGCCAGACAACTGAAGTCTGAATCTCTCTCTCTCTCTCTCTCTCTCTCTCTCTCTCTCTCTCACACACACACACACACACACACACACACACACACACACCCTGGCTGCAGAATGGAGGCTGGATGGGACGGGGACAGGGCTGGAAGGAGGATGGAGGCCAGACAGGAGGCCGAGGCATTCCAGCAAGGGATGAGACTAGACCAGTAGCAGTGGGGATCAAGAGCAGGGGGAGGATTTGAGAATTCCCGAGAAGGGCAATCTTGTGGGCTTGGTGACTGACTAACACAGGTGAGTAAGGAGCAGGGGTCTTCGGTGATTGGCAGGTTTCTGGTTTGGGTGACAGTGCCATTCGTGGGCAGAGGGAACTCAGGAAGAGGAGACTGTGGGAATTCCCGACTGGTTTTGGTGGCCACTAAAACAGAGACCCAGAAACAGGATATAACACTAGGTCCTGGAGCGTGGCTCTCCCACCTCCCTCCCATGGAGGCTTCAACTATTATCTGTACAGCCCAAGTCTGTACATCGCACAATTTCTGAGATTCCTTTTCACCCAGTCCTTTGCCTGATGACAGCCCGTGGTTGTTCATTTGAACTCCTTCCATCCTTTGAGACTCGGCCTGGTTATCCTTGGCCCTTACCATCTGGTAGCACTGGGTGTTCTCTCTGTTCCCATGGTGTGGCACCCTGTACGTGCTGATCGCACTGCTTTGTAACCATCTGTCTGTCTTCTCTCCCTGGTTGTAAACTCCAGAGGGCAGAGAGTATGTCTTGCTGACCCTAGTGTCTCCGGTGACGAGCATGGTGTTTTGAAAGTACATGCTCTGCTGGGTGTTCTATGCAAACAATGAATCATGGAACACTACATCGAAAACTAATGATGTACTGTATGGTGACTAACATAACATAATTTTTTAAAAAGACATTAAAAAAAAAAAGAAAGTAGGTGCTCAATAGCTGTTTGTTGAATTAGTGAGGAAATAAAGTCCATGTGACTGTACAGCCTAGAACGTTGTTACATATGCAGTACAGAGTGCCAAGGCCAAGGGCAGAGGAATCTTTTCTACCTGTGGTCAGTGCCATAAAAACTATGAGTGCTTCTGACAACTGGAAGAGGTCCACCATGACCCACGTAGCAACTCAGTTTCCTTATTGATGCCCCTGGACTCTGCTTTCAGCCTGTTTATACATAAATGTTTAACTCACTGAAAGTTAATAGCATGCTCATTAAAAAAAAAAAATCCTCTCTCCACCTATCAAAATTGCATTTTTTAAAAATATATCGTCCAGTATTGATAAAAATAAAATGAAAGGGGTATTCTCATGAACTTCTTTTCCAGGAATGAATTTATAAATGACCAAGCCCCCCAGAATGTTCTTACTCTTGAACCCAATGATTCTACTCCTAAAATTCCCCTTAAAGAAATAATAAAAAATGACAAGATTCGTGCCCAATAGGGTTGTTTCTAAGAGTGTGAGTTATTTGTAACAACGAACGTTATTTACAGTAGTGGAAGTTGTAAGTACTTGGAGGCCAAAATGGTATGTCCCCCAACAACTGAATGAGGAAATTGTACTTCCCACTGAGTGTCAAACTGCAAAACCCTCTCAAATGATCAGACACCAAAGACACAAACTCCATGGAAAGACAGAAAAGCTAGTAGGCTCACAGGACTGGATTGAAGGGCATCAACTCACAAAATAAATATGGTGTCAGTCAGAAGAGGTTTTAAATGCAGAAATCCAGAGAGGTACTATAGGAAGAGCCCACTGAAACCCTCCTACCCAGCTCAGCCAGTGGATGATGTCCTTGTGCTCTGTCCTCTGTCCTCCTCAAGATGAGAAGGAGGCTGTAGGCCACCCCCAACTGGACCATTAAAGACACCTCACTCCCCTTTTCCTGGTTCTAAGTTCACCAAGGGCCCATCTGATTCTCCTGGCACTTGACTACATGAAGATTTGTGGCATCGTGAAGTCTTTCTCCTGGCAAGCTAAAAGGGAATTTCCGATTATGACAGCCTTCCAATGAAGGTGGAAAGGGATGTCGCTTATGTCAGTGCTCCCATGAACCCTCCCTGTCCCTGTGACAGTTGTATTGCTCATTGAACGATGAAACACGGGACACTGCGATGTCTCCCTCGGGGCCCTGTGCAACCAAGTCACCATGAATCCGTCCTTCAGAGCCTGCTCACCCCTGGCCACTGTGAGAACCAGCTCCAGCCGGCCTTTTCCCAAACCTCCACGTGCAGGAGTCTATTCATGATTTCCACGGGGAAAAAGAAATGTGAAACAATCAAAATATTCCACATTTGGGGAAAGCTTAAATAAATCATGCTACATGTATCCCACGCAATATTATATCATTGTTAAGAGTCATGTTTCTTTAAAGACTAATTACTTAGAGAAATAGTCACACAGCATGTCAAAAATGTATGATTCACACTGCAGAAAAAACTCCGGCAGTTTCTTATAAATTAAACATGCAATTACTGTAGGACTCCCTAAGGGTCCTTTTGAGTATTTATCCCAGAGAAATGAAAACTTAC